CCGTGGTGACGGACCGCATAACTAAGCGTTTACATTTCGTTCGAAAACTTGCTACCCGGTACTTTTTTTATTTACAAAATATTCCCATGTTTTAATTTCAAATTTTAAACAAAAATAATATTTACATTACGTTCAATGTACTTTGAGGCTTATTGGAAATATTAAAACTTTTTAAAGTTATTGTAAATTTTTATTTTCTTATAAATGAAAAAACATAACTATCGAATCGAAAGTAAATATATTTTTTTTACCTTTAAAAAAGGTTTTAAATTAGCCTTAAGAGTATTCCTAGCATTCTCGAGACCAAGTTTAACAGTCGTTTCGGTTGAAAACTTACCAGCCAAAAGTTACCGAAAACTTCTCCGGCATTCTTCTAACTTTCGAGTTCGAACTTAACTTCGAAAAAGTATCCGGAGGCAATTTTCGATTTTATTCATATATCGCAGGTCTACATGGATTCAAAGTGTGGAAGTGTTGCCAGTTTTAACACCACAGTACCCGTTATCACAAAATGCTGTAACTAATTCTTGTGATAAACTATGGCTGCAGCCATGATAAGCGATCGTGGTTTACGTAAAAAATTAACCCAGGAGGCGATACCTGAGAAAACACCACGCAAACCATCGAAAAGAAAATCAACACCTAGCAGTTCGAAGGACAAGAAAAACGAGAATAACAACAACAAGCGTCCCAAGATACAGACAGGAGACCCTAAACTAGATTTATTTTCAACATACCAACCTTGGGTTATCCAAACATATGGAGATTTAGCTAAAACGAAAACGATAACTTTGAAAAAGTATGCTCGGATTTTGCGTACTTTACGTGGAGAAGAATGCAACAGTTCTGATAGTTCCAAGTTCCGTTTCTGGGTGAAAGCGAAGGGTTTCTACGTTGGGAAACCTCCGGGTTATGAAGCTAAGCCGGCGGATGGAATCGTGTGTCGATACAGTGTGGCTGATGCTGAGGGCTGTGCTAGGACGCCGGACGGCTTGGAGATATACAGCGGATCGCAGAATGACCCTCCTCTATACATACCAACGCCACCGCTAAAGGTAAGCATTTAATTCTACAGTCACTAAGGACGCCACTAATTGTTACTTTAGTATGAATTAAGTTTAAAAGACGTCCTTTACTGTTACCCTTAGTTCTTAATTCTTATTTGTTATGTGTTCTTTTCAGAGATTTTTTTACTCTACAAAGGTTTGCGAAATTTCTTACAGTTATAATATACTAGCTGTTGCTCGCGACTTCGTCTGTGTGAAATTTAAAAAATAGTTAAAAAACCTACGTTACTTATAACGAAGCTTTTAATGGAGAAAAATTCGGAAAACGGCGCAGTAGTTTTTGAATTCAATACAAAATAAAATACAAATCTTTCCTCTTTATAAATATGTATGGGAGGACATACAACTGCTTCAGGCAAACGGTAATAACATCTTCAAATGTCCGTGTATGTCGGCAATATGGCGACTGTGAGTTGTAGACTGTTTATTGACCGTTTAAAGTTATCGATACTATCTTGAAAAATGTACTAATTACTATATCTACATGTTTAAAATATCCAAACGAACGCTTGGAGAAGTCTGTACTAAACCCATCTGATGAAATAAGTCACATATATACTTTTTTTATACCATACGGCGGCAAATGAGCAAGCGGCCACCTGAATCCGCCAAAATGGTGAAGCGACATGCCCATAGACATCCGCAATTGCAGATGCGTTGCCATAAAGAGGATATTTCCCCTTCCTATGCATCTCCACCGTCAAATCTATTTCCCCTTCCCATCCTCTCCTTATAAGAAAAGGGTGGTAAAGAGTAAGGAACTTAAATTAGGCCTCCGGCACCACATTCTTCAGACGAAACACGGAATTGCTTCCACTTCACGGCTGTCTTCTGTGTGGTCGTGGTATTAC